GTAGAGATTTGCAGGTCATTCCCAACAATCCTGTTCAGTCAGGACTGGAATTGCCCCCTAGTTCCTGACCCAGCCCTTTGCAAACCCCAAACCCATCTCTCTCAGCCCTTTGCAAACCCAATCTCTGCCGCCCTTTGCAAACCCCAAACCCAATCTCTTTGAAGACCCCAAACCCAATCTCCTGCATCACTTTGCAAACCCCAACCCCAATCTCTGCAGCCCTCTGAAGGCCCCAAACCCAATCTCTGCAGCCCTTTGCAAACCCCAAACCCAATCTCTTTGAAGACCCCAAACCCATCTCTCTCAGCCCTTTGCAAACCCCAAACCCAATCTGTTTGAAGACCCCAAACCCATCTCTCTCAGCCCTTTGCAAACCCAAACCCAGTCTCTTTGCAAACCCTAAACCCAATCTCTTTGCAAACCCCAACCCCAATCTCTGCAGCCCTCTGAAGACCCCAAACCCAATCTCTTTGAAGACCCCAAACCTAATCTCTGCACCCCTTTGCAAACCCCAACCCCAATCTCTGCAGCCCTCCGAAAACCCTAAACCCGGTCTCTTTGCAAACCCCAAACCCAATCTCTTTGAAGACTCCAAACCCATCTCTCTCAGCCCTTTGCAAACCCCAACCCGGTCTCTTTGCAAACCCCAAACCCAATCTCTTTGAAGACTCCAAACCCATCTCTCTCAGCCCTTTGCAAACCCCAACCCCAATCTCTTTGCAAACCCCAACCCCATTTCTGCAGCCCTCTGAAAACCCCAAACCCAATCTCTTTGAAAACCCCAAAACCAATCTCTTTGCAAACCCCAAACCCAATCTCTTTGCAAACCCCAAACCCAATCTCATCCCAGCCCTTTGCAAACCCCAAACCCAGTCTCTTTGAAGACCCCAAACCCAATCTCATCCCAGCCCTTTGCAAACCCAAACCCACTCTCTTTGCAAACCCCAAACCCAATCTCATCCCAGCCCTTTGCAGACCCCAACCCCAATCTCTTTGCAAACCCCAACCCCATCTCTTGCAGCCCTTTGCAAACCCCAACCCCAATCTCTTTGAAGACCCCAAACCCAATCTCTGCACCCCTTTGCAAACGCCAAACCCAATCTCATCCCAGCCCTTTGCAAACCCCAACCCCAATCTCTCTGAAGACCCAACCCCAATCTCTGCAGCTCTCTGAAAACCCCAAACCCAATCTCTTTGAAAACCCCAAACCCAATCTCTTCACAAACCCCAAACCCAATCTCATCCCAGCCCTTTGCAAACCCCAACCCCAATCTCGTTGCAAACCCCAACCCCAATCTCTTTGAAGACCCCAAACCCAATCTCCTGCAGCCCTTTGCAAACCCCAAACCCAATCTCCTGCAGCCCTTTGCAAACCCCAAACCCAATCTCATCCCAGCCCTTTGCAAACCCCAAACCCATCTCTTTGCAAACCCCAACCCCAATCTCTCTGAAGACCCCAACCCCATCTCTTGCAGCAAGCACCAAGCAATTGTCCTATGACGAGGTGGTCACTCAGTCCAGCCCCAGCAACTGCACCGTGTACTGCG